CCCCCAGGAAAAGAGAAGCACGTGCATCGTCATCTTGAACAAACAAAAAGAGGACTGGAATAATCGAGATACGCGTAACACATCTCGGACGGTAATATGATTCCCCGAAAGTCACGCAATGCAAGTCAGAGAGTCGTGCAAAAAAAAAAAAAAAAAATATCATCGCCGTATCGAAACATGAGTATACGTAATGATGAAAAAAAAAGGCAATCATAACGAGCCGGTAGATAAATATATACCGCAGTGGAAAGAGCGTCGGGCGGATGGATACAGAAGCGCTTGCGCGAGAGGGTCGAGTCGATCGATGAACCAACCATTCAGACTTGCTCTAGAGCGCGTGCACGTAATATATGGCCCATTGCGCAAAAACCCGCGATAGGCTTGAAATCGGCTGATCGAATTATTTCGAGTCAAAACTTTTTACAAAAGGTCATTATTGTAAAGCAAAAATTTTATTTTCAACGGCTTATGTCTGTGTATTAAATTTTTTTTCTTTTTGTAATTCATAACTTTCATTCCATGATTTGATTTTACCGAGTGATCAATTACTCTGGGACACTTGTAATTGATAGATTCCACAAATAGAGTAGAAAAAAATGAATTTTAAATAAGTATCACATGACTTGAGAAAATATCTAATTTATTGTATAATGATCCATATACATGGTAAGCATGAATGGCCGCTTCGGCGACGACGCCTGTGCACGAATGGAGGAAGGATGAACGAAAGCCAACGGACACGTGCGATACTACGTTTTGTACGTGTATGGATTTCGATACGTGTATATGCAACATCCTTAGCCTCATTAGCCACGTAAAGGTCGGCTAATTACAGTCACGAAAGGTCGCCGTGGATGTGCATACTTATAAATATATGCACGTAAAAAGACTTTTTTTAAAGCGAGTGTGCACGAATGCCCTCCCCTTACAAGCTCCCAAAGAGTGTATTTTTCGTCTCGTTATTATCATTTAATTTTTTTTTTTTTGCGCCACATAAAACAGCCAAAGCAGTACACTAATAGACACTCGATAGCCTCTTTTTATACATTTTTTTTGGGGAAAAAAAACTAATACATCGATGTGCACTTTGGAGTACTAATAATAAAAATTCCATCCNTTTTTTTTGGTTTTTTTTTTTTTTTTTTCATTTTCTCGTTGATTGCTCGAAAACGAGTTTTCAGATGGGCTACTGTCAGCTCTTGCGCGACAAGAAATACGTATTTTCGTCGTCGTTTATTTTTGATTCATGAGCATCATGTTTTTTCTTTTCTTCTTCAACTTTGTGGTATGGTAAAAAGCAAAAAGAGAGACGTGCGTATAAATGGCACTGATTATTATCGAGGATAACCGTGCGAGTCCTAATAACACCACATGCGTTTATACTACACGCGTGTTGTGTAATAACAGTGATTTTGCCACTCGAACGGTAAGGTTTTTTTTTTTTTTTTTTTATGTTCATTTGTTCGATCTCTGATACTTCAGCGAAATTGGTGATCGGCGTATCACTAGTTTTCGTCCACCTGGTGGTTCTCGTTTTTCTCGGAGGATATATAAATAATGAGCGTTTTGCCAGAGCCTCGATCATTTCGTTTTGGTACGTAAGCTCCCCTTTTCAAACAATCGTAAGCACACAAAAGTTACAACTACGTGGTGTGCTGACAGTCACTGATACATTGTACTTTGGTGGTTTTATCACAGGGTGATTAATAACGAAGAATCCAAAAACTGATGTAACAAATGAAAAACATCGGCTTCAATGCTACTCACTGGCTAGAGAAGAGAGAGAGAGAGAAAGAGAGAAAATTTGAAATGCAAAACCGGCACGCTTCACCATCAGCCATTCAGAGCTCATCACCAAGAGAGAGAAAGAGAGTTGGGCTCATCTTCAAAAATTGGTGTATACAGTGGAAGTCTTACCTAAGCGTTATTTCACTCTCGCACGCATACTTATGCATACGCGCACACAGTAGCGACGCATAATTGAGTCGGCAACGACAATGAAAAAAAGACTCTATCCAGCTGTTATATATGTAGCAGAGTTGTGACAATAAGGTCAATACGTTTGAGGGAGAATCCAAGTTATTGTTTATTTCCTTGAAAATTGATCAACGCCTAGCGCCAATTCGAAAATTCTTTCAATAACTCGTTAATTCCCATGGCGTATTTTTCGGCGATATGTCTCATCAAAGACGGGTGGCTTGTAAATTAAGAAAAAAAAATATAAATATACTCCTAAGCTGTAATTTTACGTTCAAGCAGATGCGTCGACAATAATATGATGTCCATACCTACAGATACGCGTATGTACTCGTAATATAGGCAACATCAGCATGCATGATAGGGAGTTAGGTGGTACAACAGCTAGGCACGCACGCCGCTTCCGTTATCGCGGATACGTGACACGGATGACGATCGTCGGCGGCCGTCGATCGGTGGGTAACACACACGAGTAGAGGTAACGAGGACCGTTAGACCGGGGAAACGACGCTGCTGCTAATTCGGCCGTTAAGCTCCGCGTTGCGTGTAGATGCTGCTTTTTTTTTTTTTTTTTTTTTTTTTTCATAACTACGACGACTGCCACGGGTATACATCTGAATTTCAGATGTAAAGGTGTGTACGAGAGTCTTGGATCGGTAGGCGCGTGGAGAAGCGGAAACTCGTCGATTTTCGACACAAAGCTGCTTTAGCCTCTTTTTTTAGATTATAAATGCCATCCCCTCGCTTTGTTTTTCATTTGTTTATTTTTTTTTTTTTTTTTTCATGGAAACCCCAAATGTTTTTTAACAGGCCAATGTTGTTCTCTCGATTCCGGCGTTCGCAATTGTCGTGAGAACAATTGCCTTGGTTTTTTGTAAAAACAACGTCACCGATGACGAGTTTTTAAATTGGACGATTGAAGATGACGCCGGCAAAGACATTAACCATACAGGCACGACTGTGATCGTATACCTACACACACCCACGACTGACAAAACCATCAGACGATCTTAAAACCGGTGCGCTCGTGTTGGCCGCCGTTGCGATCGCGTTACATCCCAAATAAATTTACACCTTACGAGTGAAAAATTGTACTGTTGGTCCACCACATGCAAAACAAATAAAAAAAAAGGACAGCCATGCACACAGGCACGTACAGTACACACAGCTCGACACAAGTGGAGTACAGGTATAATATACATCGCCTTTTAATCGTATGAATGAAGCCGGCGTATTATGAGAAACGCACACACACACACACGTGTGATGCAACGCACATCAACGAAAGCCCATATATATATATATAAGCTGCACTGCTCGTCGAGGGTATTGAATTTATTCTCGGCGCGCGTTGTGTTATGCGGGCACGCGTATTTAATATCAGCCGAGGCGTATACAGGCAGACATGCACACACAGTACATAATGGAAAAGTACCCAGTTCTCGTTCTCCGCACACTGCGCAAGCTGAATGGGAATTGTATCGTAATAACGAGGCTTGAGCCGCAAAAAGACAAAATGGGAGAGAGAGAGAGAGAGAAAAAAAAAGGTCCAAAAAAGATATACACTTAATCACGAAAAACAAGCCGGACGATCGTCTCCTTTCCTTCGTAGGTATATATACGTGACGATCGGCGAGTTTTTCGCTCGTCTTTGTGTGTGTAAATTATATGTGCGTGTGTATGCCGCGGGTGCGGGAAACCGGTTCGGTGCAGCGGCAGCACTTGCTTCGTTAGCGCAGGTGCTCCTTTTCTGTACGTGTAGGCAGGTATAGCGATGTTCGCGCGCAAGTGAGACGCTCGTAGGGAAAAAAGGAGGATCACCTTCGAGATCCATAAGGGAGAGGAAGGGGGAGTGGGGTAAGAGCGACGCGGTGTGTAGAAAAAAGGGAGTGTGCGGATGGATGGACGAAAGAGAGAAGAGCGAACACGGCGACGCGACGCGGGATTATTGATAAGGGCAAGGATCGATGCGTCGCGAGATGAGGAAACGACGGCAAGAGCGGATATACGCACGAATGTCGGGCAGGGGGGAAAACAAAAAGGGACTGCAGGTGGTTGTAATTCATCGACACCTGTATACCCACCCCTCCACGTATAATATATTATACGTTTGAGCATAATCTCTTTTGCCCACATACTCTGTTCGTTGACGAATCGCGTTTGAATAACGCAGCGCAGGCTGGAACTTTTGCACCGCTGATCAACCCCCTGTTGGTTGGGAGTACACCCATACACGTGACGAGAACCTATTATCATATTAATGTCGAATAAACCGTAAAACGTATGAATAAATCGATCTATACAGTGATAAATAATCAAGCACACGCGCGCGTAAATACGTGTACCCACAGTTGCGCAAAGGCTTCTTTTTACACATTCGTGTATATTATATACATTAATTCCTATATATATATATATTCAACGACGACGAGGGCGACGATCGTTTGGACTTTTGTATAATAGGCGTTAATCGCACGTGCGTGTGGGTACACAGTAAGCGATTCCCCACCACAACGGTATGGGTGGTTAAGACAGTTTTGCAAGAGTAGAGCCTCCGCGCTGGCACGAAAATCGATGTTGAGCAATTTCGGGAAGGACGACACGCCCACGAGTCCCGCGCTCCTGCAGTCTACACGCTCGTGAATATTCATGCCACGAATCGGTGTTTTATTTTCTTTTTTTTAAAACATTTTTGTGTACACAGGCTTACTGCTCGGGCGAGTTTAACGACGAAAAATAAAAATTACCGTCTATCGTGGGTTCGATTTGCTTATCGTTGTTGTTTTTCGATCAAGCATCTCTCACGTTTTGTTACCGATCGGTAGTTGCTTGATTTCATAACACCTATACGCATGTGGGCCGATGAAGGAACACACCAATTTTGTACATCGTACACTTTTGCAACACCCATACTCATAAAAAAAAGCTCAGAGACTCCATAGCTCTCGTGTCCCGAAGAAAAACACGAATTAAATATATGGGAAAACCAAAAGAAAAAAGAAAAGAAAAAAGGGGTGACGTACCTTGCTGATGAGCATGTCCTTCTCGTCAAAGTGGCGGCCGTACATTTTGGGCGACTCGCCGGGTATGGGCTCGATCTTGATGCAAACTTCTTGGCCCTTGCGCGCGCTCTCCACGTTCTTGTGGTTGCTCTCTATGCTCGTCACGATCCCCAGCTCGACGAACTGCAAGAAACAATCATCGTTATACCAACTACTGTCAACACTGTAAGATTCGACGAGGGGGTGCATGGGTGGGGATCATTTTGCCTCGGTCTACGCACACTGAGTCCCAAGTGGCGTCGAAACGCCAAGGATATGCGGGGTTGAGATCAATTATAGATTGGAAAGTTTCGAGCGCCTTATTTGTCCGATGGCTCGACAAAACGGCCCCATCAGCGCGCACAATGCCGAATCACACGATACTTTGGGTACAAGAGTATAATATTATAATGAACGATTAGCCGGTGTTTGAGCAACGCCGTTCATAACTATACAAAGAGAGAGAGAGAGAGAGAGAGAGGAAGATTTATTAAAAGCATGAGCGGCTCTCCGTTGCAGGAGAACGGAGAGAAAGCGCGAGTAGGCGGTCGAGCCGAGATACGCATACTTTGGCGTAGAGAGACGGCGAAGCGATGAAAATAACAAAAAAAAAAAAAAAAAAAAGAGGGAGGGCGCAAAAGGTTCGAAGGAGATACAGATACGTATGCGGATACGAGTGATGTTTATTCATACAAATTGTACAAAAGGCAATCATGTGCGGACATGTAACAGTGTTTGTGTACGTACGTGGAGAGATAGTGCTACACGGGTATTGGGAGAGTTCTAGTCACATGTGTGTGTACAGGTTCTGCCCACTCTCTCTGTGCCACCGATATATAGGTGATGCGAGGTGCGATATTTGAAAAAAAAAAAAAAAAAGTGCCTGTAGCTTTGATCGCACGTTTCACGTTGATCGTTTATCATCTATGAGGATTCAAAAGTAATGAGGCTTCATTTTTCCTTGTTATGTATACGCCGGTAGAAAAATATGAGCTGCAGTACCTCTTTTTCTCAATCAGGTGTGTAATATATATACCTGTACAATTACACTCTGGCGTAAAAGTCTGCGAGACCAGTAGTTAAATGGTTAATCCATCGTGATGAGTGTCGCAGGACCTTGTACTTCAAAATACAGCTATTGGACACCCATTGAGACAAGAATTTATAAAAAAAAAAGTAACCGAAGGGATCACCCATCGCAGTCTCCACTTAAGCCACCTTAAATGCCCGTGCAACAATATTACGCAATATATATATATATATATATATATATATATATATATATATACACACACACTTGCAGCTTGATCAAAAGTGAAATGAATTTCGGTCGGAACGAGTCCTCACGCGCGACTCAACCCACAGGTAATCGGGGAAAGCCGCTAAACTCCCACGGGACTCCGCACCCGGCAGTATATAGGAGGAGGAGGAGGAGGAGGCGATCGAGCATACCAGTCGGTGATCGGTGCACCGGCCCACACGAGAGCTGAAAGTAAGTATAGGTGGGTGTAACAGGTATAGGTCGGTTCGTCGGTACCCACGTATGTACGTGTGTTACGTGTACACATATTATGCTGTATGTACATATATAGGTGCGGGGAGCTAGGCCCACGCGTCGGGCACCGGCTGCACCTTAGCGACCGGAGGTGTTTGCCCACGCGATCCTCTTTTTTTCTTTCCGTTCGACTGCTTTTATTAGCCCTCCGTTACATATAATATACTGTGCTCTCGCGAGATATCGAAATGCAAGAGGGATGAGGGAGCGTTTGCGCGGGGGTGGTTTTGATTTTTCTTTGGCTCTTCGTTTACACGTGACACCTTGGTTCGGTTGGGCACGAAGAATATCGTTTCACAGAAATAAACACTTGCAAAGTTATGTTGGAACCCAACGAGATTTACGGCAATTTTTACCCCAGATAAACTTACCACAGCGTATGAAAGAGGTTATTTCCATGCGATTTATCGAGCATAATATTTGACTTGGTGAAAATCAAACCGAGTACACTTGTACTGCGTGGAGAATAATTTAAAAAAAAAACGATCCCCATTGATGAAACTTGTCCAATAACTTTGGATCGATCGCCCCAAAAATGTCCTCGATCCTTGGGCACAACATCATTTAAAGCTCATCGATCGATTTGTCCGCGCGCGTGCATAGAGACACGAGAAAACGCGTCCCACTCGCGTATACACTTACAAAACCTGTCCTCTCTCTCCTTAATGGCCAATAAACACATACAAGCAAGAAGTCACAAACGCGAGATTGTCGATGAAAAATAAACAACCGAGCACTGCAATGAGTAAAAATCAAGTACAGAGAGACGCGATCTGACGAAAAAAAAAAAAAATAAAGACACTTGCGCGCCATCAGTGACCTCGGGACTCGTATACATATATATTTATGCGTACACACCCACGTGCATATGGTTACGTGCACAGTCGGCCTCACGTGACCTCTTCAAAGCCCTGCGGATTTCTCGTGCGATTTATAAATAAAATTCGAGCGGCGCGCGGGATTGGAAATTGGACCGGAAGCCAATTATTAGCAGATCTCCCGGCTACCGCCACGGCGAGTGTCAATTATGCTGGACGCGAGGGGTATTTTTATTAACTATCGATGGCGCTACGTTTCCGGAAGCTATACATACATCGGGTAGGAAAAAAAAAAAAATTAATCACTCGCTTACAGTGATTTTTTAAAAAATACCGTGGGCTCTTTTTTTTGCACCACCGTCTGGTACAATATGTATGACAAAGGGTGCGCAGTTGGCCCGGGCGTAATGCGATGTTGATTTATCGCGTTCATTCGAGACCGTGGGATGAATTGGAAAAAAAAATGTGGCAGCCATTAGGAGAACGAGCATTGTCGGGAATGAATAACTGCCACATTAAAAGTCGTTGCGCGAAGCAGACGTTGGATTTTCAGATGTCCGCGGGGGGGTCCGGTGAATTTTCGAGCACTCTTTTCCCTACTGGTGCACTCGAACTGAGACAATGTATCCCCCCCCCCCACCAAATGATTTTTTTCAATTTTGCCGTTAACTTGTCCACGCGCCGAAACTCCAAGTGCAGCGAGCCCGAAAGGGACATAGGAATCATAATCCCACACCCGGATTCCATCGGTACACCCGGTTTTCAAAAAGCACGCAGACACGCGGGGGCGGCCCAGTGGGAGGAGGCGATATAAAAAATGGAAAATTACTCGCTCCTTTCTTCGAACTCATCGAACGAGCGCGACGCGGCGCGGGAGAAAAAGAAGAGAGATGATATGGATACGCGGGCGTGTACTATCCATTCGAGCGCGTTCTCCGGCCCTAATTTTAAACGAAGACGGGTGGGGGCAGGCGAAAATAAAATGTAAAGCTCACACCTACCCATTTGTACATATGTACTTACACATACGCGCTGAGGAGAAAGATAATATTATAATGAATGAGCGTAAAAAGCGGAAGAGGAGGCAATAAGGAAAGCGAATAAAGAGAGCCGTGGGTTGGAGTGACACGCACACGTATACGTGGGTATGGTTATAAGATTGTGAAGCCAAGCGCCGATCGGGCATCATATCGGACAATGGGGGTCTTTCTTCTGTCCTTTCCCGTACGGCCAAAGCCCACGCCGAGGAATGCCCACGACGCTCGTTCAAGGAGAGCAAACGCTCTTCCCTGCGTCTAATGTTTCTATGCAAGCACGGTCTCTCCCGGGATGGCTTTTCTTTCTCTTTGCGCGCTTATCTACATGCGCGCACATACCCACCTCGGCCGCATACTTTTCGTTTCTCCGAAGGGCATGGTAGCTCGTCCTTCTTTTATTTGTTTTCCCATCTATTACTCCGAGGTTGCCGCCGAGTATACAAGTTGCGAATATTCATTCGGTATGACACGAGCAATTGTTTTTCCCTCCCGAGTGGGCAGTACCGCTTTGGAAAAACCATTCGTTACCTCTCGGCCACGCATGCTCTGTTGGGATATGTGTTCGGAAAGTCGCACGGATTTTTCGTCACTCTCTCTCTTGATACAGCTTTGTTTCGGAAGTGCTTGTTTTACTCCGCCGGCGTGCACTGCTTATAAGTGTAGCGATGGTGATCAAATAGGGATTATTTGTATCTCTTTGCGGTCGGAAAATACATGTTGGCCTATGATCTTTTATTGACGTGACAATTTTCACGTTTCCGGATGTGTAACAGGACAATTTTCATACCCTGCACTGATGAGCGTCGTCCGTGAGAAAATTGAAAACAACGCATCACCAGACACATATCCGAACTTTATTATGTCTTTGCGTGTGTTTCAATGTGCATATTTGTGGAAAGGACTCGGGCACAGATAATACTCGAGGTTAACATAAAGCCTCGCATAAAGCATCATTCGGACATTACTGATCATGACACAGTACCTTTTTTTTTTTTTTTTTTTTTTATACTAGAGTACATTTTTAGACGACGATAAAGCATATATTTCAAAGCACTAGTAAATGTTGAAATAACTCTGACAAATAACATTGTTTAAAACAGTACTTGTGTCGGAGTCTGGTTACGGTACACTTATCATCGCGCATTTTCGTAAGGTAAGTATATACAATTACAAGAGTATAATTATATGTATATTCTCATTTATCGCCATACTAAACCGGTATTCCCTATACATTTGTAATGTTCTGCTCACTGTGATTTTTGATAATTTAATGTTTATATTCCTTCGGTTCAAAGTAACTTTTTGCTTGTCCACCGAACGTTCATTCGACTCGTGAACAATCAACCGGACGCTCAAGTATACACGAGCAATGATTACCAACGTCCGAGTGGGCCATCGTTTCTCCCCGGTCTTCCGCAATTTATTTCCTCTCGGTCTAATCTCTTTCTTACTTCAGCTTCTCTGGCTACTTGCCTCCGCACAAACTCGCAAAAGGGGAGGATTACCATATACAAGAGCAGGTGCAGGCCAAGAGAGAGAGAGAGAGAGAGACCGAGAAGGCTGTGGGTTTTTTTTTCTCCTCCTGTTACGAATATATACGTTCCACCTGGGCAGTTGCCGGGTCCCCTTCGCGTGGATCCGCATAAGGAGAACCTGCGGAGCCCGGCTTGGGAAGGGGACAAGGACTCCTCTCCATTCATAAATTTCGGTCCTACGGACGAGCGAAGGAGGGAA